AAATTTTCCATTGCTGTTGTTACCCATCTTAATGGTGTAATTGTTGTATTAATTTTGCTATTGGTGAAAATTATTTTCAAAATAATTTTTGAAATCAACTTTTAACATAGCAACACATGTTTGTCGAGTGCTTTCAGGAATTTCCTGAAAAAAGAATACAATTAATTATTTATTAATTGTTAAACATTTGCAAAAGTTAATTATGATAAATAAAGCATTGATTATAATCAATACAATTATATGCTATCAGCAAATGCTACTATTTATGTCATGAAAATTTGATAATATTTTTCACGTTACAGTATCATTATTACGTGAAAAAAATTTATGAAAGATGTTGAAGAAAAAAACAAAATATTGAAATATTGTTTATTATATGATTATTAAAGTAGTTATTGTATGAGATACTGTAGCTACTGTAGCTTTTACTGTAGTTTCATAAAAAAAAAAAATTATTGTATATGAATATGAGAAATATTGGATAAAGAGAGATGGTAAGAAAAATTTTCGAAAGAAATTTATTTATCCAAATGAATAGGTAAATAAAAACAAAAAAATGGGCAATATTTGATTTTTTATATTTTATAGTATATGCTTATATGAAGAGTTATTCAAATATATAAATAATAGTAAATAAATTAAAACTAGAATTAATTAAAGGAAATATTTCTCTGATTTTTTTTTCTCCCAAACGAATTCTAATAGATGCTAAAAAAAGAAAAAAAGATTGAGAAAGATGAAAAGATAAGATTGAAAAAGAAAAAAACTAATATAATTAAGAAAAAAAAAGGGAAGAAAAAGGAAAAGAGGAAAATTCCTATCAATTATATGATAAGTTTTTATAAATTAAATTAATTAATTAAATGATAAATCACCGTTCGAAGTTGTACAATAAAATATAATGATGTCCCATTAATTAATGGATAACAATTAGTATCAGTGCATAAATTTGATTCACGTAATATTTCGCCATCTTCTGTTTGTATACCATATTGAAAAGCATCTTGTTCATTAATCTCTAATTCACTTATTTCTAACATTGGTATAATAAAATTGGATGTATTAAATGGATTAGCTGGTACCAAACGAACAAATATTTTTGATATACGATCTTTTTCACCAAGTAATGGTAAATATGCTAAAAATATTAAAATAAATTAATTTTTTTTTTAATTAAATCAATTTTATAATCTTGTTAAATTTATTCTTAACTTTTTTGTTTTTTTTTTAATTAAATTACTTTTTTTTTTGCTTTTATTATTATTAATAATAACAATAATTAATATATACATACAAATATTTTTATCTTTCATTAATGCTGTCGTACAAATCATACGAGTATTATCTGTTTCATATAACATATCATCAACATTAAAATTCCAAATACGACCATATTCACATGTTACTGTATGATTTATATGTGAAAATTGAATAACATTTTGTGTTATATTACCATTATTACGTGAAAAATCAACAAGTATTCCAATATTATCATTTAAATAATAAAAACGATGAAATCGCTGCAATTAAATTTTTATTTTTTATTAAATCATCTAAATTTTGTTTTTTTTTATTTTTTCCTTATTTATCAATGTATATATACACGTATATTTGTTTTAGCAGTCTTCTTTTTATAATTAAATGAAAATAAAATCTTATTTTTATTAATCAAAAATAGAGGAATTGATTGAAAGTTACAAATTCTTATATTTTATCAAAATATCTGCTAAATAAACTTTTATTCTTTTAAATTTCCACTTGTTATATAGATATATATTTGATTTAGAAATTAATAAAAGATAAATGATGTTATAAATAATATAAATTTATATTATAATTTAAAAATTATATTATCAATTCTTTTTTTAGCTCATTCTAAATTTCTATATGAAATAAAAAAATTTTTAAATACCTTAAAAGGACCACATGTTGAGATATATTCGGTTGTTGTATCAAGTATAAAATCCGAAACAATAAAATTATAATTGTAAAAATGAGTTTCAATTGGTCGTGTTTCGAATACTTCCACACGACTAATATATACTCCATAACGACCAGATGGTGACAAAAAGCAACAACATTTGGATGCTACACTTCTATCATTTCTAAATTATACAGAAATGATACTTTTGGAAAATATCTCAACAACTACTGTAACTAAAATTAAAACATCCATTACATTTAAAAAAAAAAAAGCCGAAAACTGATGATAAATCAATTGATGAAATATGGAATATATTCTTGATATTATCACATTTTCATTTGATAATATATCCCTTTTGTTATCACCAATGAATGCTTAGCTTATCGGGATTTCTCAAAAACATTCATGGTGAAATTCATTAGCATTTATTTATTAATTATGATAAACCTCATTAATTGAGTTGGTGATAGTTCCCGAAAAAGCATATTTTCGTCACGTCCTCAAATCAACTAAGCAACTACTGATTGATTTAGCAAAAAAAAAGGAAAAATATTAAATTTTGATTTAAATACATCCAGAATTGTGTGATTTTTTGCATTTGTTTGATTAAATTATCCATTATTAAGACAAATTTGCATATCGATTACATTCAAATTTGCATATCGATTACATTTATTTTAAATTTATTTTTTTTCACTTTTTTATTTCTATTCAAAAAATTCAAGCAACACAATTTACGTAATAATAGTTATATCATTATTACTACTGTAAAATTATACTTTATAATCATTATAATTATCGGCAATGATTACAGCTAATGATAATTATTGATAATTATATGCTACTACTGCTCATTACATTTTTATATAAAATTTCGCTCATGAATAAATTAAGAGAAATTAATAAGACAGTATCGAAATATGATCCATTACAATATGTAAAGTAAATTAATGAGCAATCCATGTTTAATTGAAATAAACTAACTAATTATTAAATTAGATGATAGATGAAAAGTACCGACAGCAGATGATGAAACTTTTGTTATTTAGTAAAAATAATTATAATTATGATAATGAATATGTATTTCATTTTCATATTAGCATTATCAATTCAAAAATAATCGCTACTAAATGTATGGTAAAATTTTAATCAAATATTGTGATGAATTTTTATGAATATCATATCAAACATATTTGCATTTTTTTCTTATTTTTAAAAATAATAATATCATTTCATTAAATTTATTCGAATTCCATTCACATTTATTCAACATAATAGATATCTTTTGAGTATAAGATTTATGCAATCAGTTTTCATCTAATTAGTTCAATCTCATTAAGCTAATAGTTGAAATCTACCAACCAAATTTTTACGGTCATTATTTCTTAGCATATTTCGGCTAAAGATCAAAGAGTTCTAATTAATTAATTTAATGTTATGCAGTCTTATATAGCAGCAGATAATTGCTCTATTACTATTTAATGATCTTCTTAATCAGTTGCTATAATTACAAGAACGAAATGTATCTTCTATATTTATGCCAAATTCTTGATCACTTTTTCTCACATGAAGCCATTATCATTTGATATCACTTCATTATCACTATCATTTCATTTAGAAGTATTTCAAATTTTGATCATTTCTAAAATTTCATTTATCATCGTGGTAAATTATAAATTTAAAGTTGCGAAAATATATGTTTCACATGCTACCGTATAAGTAATGAAATTAAAGAATTGCAAATATCGAGAATTAAATAGCAAATATTGAGATATTCTGGAAATGTTTAGCAAAATTAGACGGTTAAAATGTGTCATGTGTTAAACAGTAAAAAAAGTATTATTGTTCCATAACTGATATGTAAATTTTGTCTTAGGATTTTAGAATTTTGATAATATATTTGTTCATAATTTTAATATGTAATGTCCTTTTTGCTAGAATTTTTCGCAATAATATGAATTCAGAAAACTATTACTATTCTGAAAGACATTTTCCAAAAAATTTTTCTTTTTTATTATAACACATAACGTCATCTTATTTAACCCGATTTTAGCAATGGTGATTGAAAATGACGGAAGAAAAAATTGATAATCTCGAATAGTTTTTTGAAAAAAATAATAATTTTAAAATTTTCGCAGCAATCAAACATTGTTGACATTAAGAAATAATTTATTAGGAACGATTCAAGCATGAAACGTATGGCTGGTATAACCTAATATAACAAGCATATAGCTATAGTGATACTTCGCAATCAGAAACATAAGCATCACGTGTTCTACGGAGAGGGATTTCCGGTTGTGATATTATAAACATAACCTAAATAATTTTGTTAGCTTTAAAGTTTAAATAAATGTGAGCGTCACCGACTATAAATTAATAAATTATATTCTTCTCATTTTTCATAATTAAAAAGCACTCAGCTTATATTACACAAAATACTACATAAATAGTAATTTTTATATCAAACTAGAAGCACCATCATATGAACTAGAAAGAAATCATTTTAGATTTTAGTGCATGCAGAAAATATTGCACATACAGCATTGAAGAAAGCTGAAATATACAGGAAAAACAAAAAAAAATTTTTTTGGGATAGTAAAACACCTCACTTGGTAAAAATTTGGTTAAAAAAATAGGAGAGAATTAAACATTCAAAACAATTTTGACATGAGTCAAAAGAAGGGAAGACTATTTGCCACAAAATGTTATATAAAATCAATGATGCCACGTGTAAGCGCCATAAGGAGATCCCAATTTGTATGGTTTTTAATCACTTCATCATCAACCCATCTGACATAGTTACGCTTAAATCGATCACTTAGTTCCACTTTTGTACCCAATAATGACTGGAAACTATTGTTCATTGGTTCAAATTCATTCATATCAACATTATCCAAATAGCTATCACCCGGAGCTGAAGATTCTCCAACTTCTACAAATAAAGCAACGTTTTTATCGATGTATTTTATATATACAGTCGAAAAATCGATAATTCCACACAGTAATTCATATTTAGGTTATCTAATTTTCAACCGGTAATGACTCTTCTTCGCAGTACCGGTGGGAATTCTGGAGTACCCAAAAAAAATGATGATATAAAGAAAAAACGTAGCAGTGGCTCTCATATTAATCTTAAACGATTCTCCATAATGACTAGTTGATTACATGTTTCAATTCTTGCGACAACGGAAAAATAATAAACCTTTAAGCCTCATATTAATTTTATAATACGGCTTACCTAATGCAAACGCAGAATACAAACGAGCATAACGTCTCGAATTAAATCTTTCTACCGCAGTTTTTAGTGCCGCTTCTTCATTCTGGAAATCCCACGATTTCGAACGAGTTTCATTTGCATATGCCCAGTCATCATTCAATCTAGAAGTACGTTATACACTTTTTAACATGAACAAACAAATGCTACCTGTAGTCGATTAGCGAACTTATAGCATACTAGTCAACAGTACGATCAAGTGAGAATTTGCGACACTTGTACAATACAAAGGTAGAGAAAATACCGTCTTCTCCAATAATTATTTATATTTCGATCCTATTTTCATTCCACCTCCGCATCTACAAAATAAGAAAAATTCACCTATGCCGCACTTTCGTATAAATCGCTGACATAATTTCCATATTTGTTCGTCTCCACTGTCGTCCAAGATATCGAGCTTGCATTTTGAGCAATTTCAATACATATAACTGGAACACTGCCTAAAAAAAGCAAACCAAATTCAAAAAAATTCTACTGTAATGTCAAATTTGGACCTCATGTTTTTGTTCTGGCCAAAAAAATTATCAATAAAATAGTCGGGGTTCAGATGTGGAACAAGTTCTAAATGATCAACTTAATAAATGTTCTGTTTTATTAATAACAGATTCTTTATCGAACGTCTCGCTTATTTCTACATACAGAAAAATAAACCAATGCTGCGGACAACAAAAAGTACTGCATTCACGCCAAAATAAAATGAAGTGATCGCCTATTATTAAGTGATATCATATCAAGCCATTCTTCGTTCGTTATCGACTCAGAAAATCAGATAAGAACTGGAACATTGTAAGGAAATAAGAATGAAACGACAGATTAATTGATTTGCATATTCGCGATTATATAATAACAAACCAATTTAACCCTTAATGAGCGTTTTAAAATTGGTGCAGATTTGAACACTACGAGCATCATCGTGCGTGCATGTTTCCATTTAGTTAATTTATTCAAAACACGCAGAAGATTGATGGCTGAGAAAACATTACGCCATAGATAGTATGATGGTGATTGCGAATCACTGTCTTCGAGATTATTAATATCCAATACTGGCCATTCTTCTGTAATAATATTGCATAGGTAAAAAAATTTTAATTCAACAATTCTGAATTTATTATCAAAATCAGGAAGTATCCGACCTCCTCATACTCTTGAGAAATGAATATATATCAAGTGGTGGTCTAGCATTCATCTGCCTGTAGCTCCAAATTGGAATCTCCACTGCGTATGATACACATTTTAAGCAACGGAAGGGATAGTTGCCATGTTACTCACGAATATTAAGAAAGAAGTAATGGAGGTAATGAAAAACGAAAGACTAAAAAGGCAAGGACGAAAGATCGAACTAAACAATCAAGTGAAAAACAGAGATCCAAAGATGGAAGAAAGGGGAGAGAAAGAGAGGGAGTTGAGATTGGGCTGTATATTTTGGTTCATCAACTAATTCAAAAAAAAAAAAGAAAAAGAAAAAAAATTGTTTCTGCACTGAACTGATCTTGAATATCATGAATTTTCCAGCAACATAAAATTAATTCCGACAAACATCAAGTAAAAATTCACCATGATTCCGTACATAGTAAAGTGGGGCGTGTGGATAATTGTACGGTGGCAGTTCATGTTTCGACTGTATATATCGAACCATATTTTGATCCATAAATTTCAGGATCAGCGGGATGCAGTTGGCGAAAACAAGATGTTGTCCGATATATTCAAACTGGTAAATGTGATTTAATCGAAAATGCTTCATTAGTAATATTAGAATCGCGGAAGAAGCTTTAACCATTATCTAAAAATTTAGAAATGCAGTATGAGATATTTCGGCAGAAATTTTAAGTTCCAAAAACTTTTTTCTTTTAAATTATGAAAAGACTTGAATATACTTACTTCCTACATAAACTTGCTGTACTTCGCTGTTTTAATGAATGAATGCTAAAATAAGAACCACCTCTTTGTGTCGGTTAACATCGATTGCAATACGAACGCTTTGTTCAAGCATATTGGAGAGTGAACTATCAAAATTAAGTGAATTTGACAGTATCTCATTATTATCCGTTTCAGGTGTAAGCACATCCGACAATATATTGATTGCTTCACTTTTTGCCTACAATTAGGAAAAATTACAACAATGCCTCTAGACTCCCTAACAACAGCCTCACCATATGCTTAGTTTCACTTATTCTTATGATCGAAATCAGCATGAATATCTTATCATAAAGTACAGCGATCCCTATTGACACCACACTACATGTTGTTAAGTTCCGAATGGAAGAGATTTCAATAGCCATAACCTTACAAATAGAACTTAACCTTTGAAGAAGGTGCAGCAGCCAGCAGTACTTTTAATAAAGCAATAATGTATTGACTTAAATTAGGCAACATCATCCGATACAATTTTTCAGCACTCGTCATTGGAATATTATCTTCTCGCTGTGAAAACATATATCGATTTAATTCTTTTTCTCGATTTGCCTGCAAATAATTAATTTGCATCACTCATAATCATCAGCAAAGAAAATGAAAAGATGTTGAAGCTCTGAAATCTAAAAAGTCTGCAACATCATTTATAGTAGAATATCGATAAATGTCATACTTGTAATTCACCCAGTGAAACATAGACATGACGACGTAATGCTTCGATACTTTTTTGGATTGGTAATGGTAAACCAAATACTGTCCTTGAATCATTCGATAAACGATAATTAAAAAATTTCATTCTGAAAATTACACCAAAAGCCAATTTAATTTAATTTTATCCGATCCTCTATCATCACCATAACCTTTTATATATAATGCAATTTTAGTACTACGAAACCTGACAAGCAATTGCGAATTTATCATAACAAATACAAAAACAAAAAATAGGGACGATACTAATCTTTCATACTGTAGCAATGTTTCGATATCAGAAAAATAAAAAAATGCTAACCTTTCACATTGTAAAAATGTTTCGATATCTTCATCACGAACTTTCGAATTCCACGGCAATGATGTGCGAAAAAGTATATCCATAGGTGGTGGTGTACTTGCGACCGGTGTATGATCACCGGTATATGAACTTCTGCAACATTTGAAGTTGAATACATCTTCATTATAACAGTGATATGGAAGTATGATGCTATATTTCCCACAATTTTCATTGAAATTCTGAAGATCTTCCAAAGTTCTGACTAAGTCAGAAATGTCATAAAGGATTACATAAAATTCAATACCTAAACAGACCTTACAAAAGTTTAACTAATCAAAAACATACCGCATTAACGGATTTGGACGATCCAACCTGCTCCTCATGTGTGGTATTTCTTCCGTGACGAAAACAGGAGCTAAAACACTGATTTCACCAAAATAATTACTACAACGATCTCAAATTGAATTTTCATTGGTTTTCTACCTCTGAAGGCTTATTATAAATGCTCTATTCGTTTCATTCTTCTAAATTCTTCGCTTTAATCGAAACTTCTGAAAGCCCAACATTTTCGAAATCAATAAGTACCTGGGGTTTGAGGTAATTCTTCAACTACCAAATCGGTTAAATCATTTGCGTCTATAGTAGCGCTGTTGTTAGGCAAACCTAAATCTATTGGCATTTGATCAATTTCTGCATATTCAGATCCCATTTTATCCAGTTCTCCATCGTCTTTGTCTGCAAATTAATATGATTTCGTAATTTCGCAACTCATTTCCCTATTAATATGATTTAAGTTCTCCATCATCTTTGTCTACAAATTAATATGATTTCGTAATTTCGCAACACATTTCCCAGTGGCATTGCACCAGTAAAATCAGAAAAGACCTTACAAAAAGCTGGAAGCAACCAACCTTCAAGCGAATTAGAGGCAGTACAAGCAAACTGACGACAAATTAACCGAGCTGAAGGATGAAGCGTTCTCTTTGGACGAACAATACCTGTGACAAATCAGAATCGTTAATGTAGTCCAAATTAGAATTTATGGATTCAAGAAATTCACGCAGTATAAGTAAACAAAATCTAAGATCCAAGAATTCACGAAAGTTCGAGTGCAAATCACCTTGATTTTGCTCCGAATCATTGCCATTTATCGAAGATGATTTCATTGCACTTGCTACAAGGAGTGTATCTTCAATTGAGCTCAAATTTGCTGCTGCTCGTTTAGCAGCTTTCCCTTCACGCAACTCCTTCCAACCACCCAATATTGCTAGAAGTATTTTCCAGACCAGTAAAAGGACCTGCAAATACATTTTTAATTAAATTGAGTTTTAAAAAAAAATTTCTTTGAATCTCATAAAATCTGAAAAACCTAAAATCTGAATAATCCCCATGAAAAAAAATCGGAATAGTTATAATAAGTACCACCCAAAGCATAGCAGCAGTCATATTATCATATTACATCTTCTCCAATAACCGAGTGAACTAAGCTAAACAATCCAGACTGCTGATAACATATTCGGGATCAAAATGCCAGTGTGCAATTCGCCAATATGCAGTTGTAAACCGTTACTAGTGATTTAATTACATTGGATTGAAAACATCACCTTTTTCATTGGAAAGTGAGGACTACTCCCGTGGCAGAAAGCAGGCATCATTTCGAGTAAAACCATAATCAACGACATATCAGCGTCCTCGATCACTTCCTCTAGAAATGTTTGGTATGATTAAAACAATAAAATGTAAGTGGGACTTACAGGAAAGAAAAGCAAAACAAAAACAAAAACATACAAACTAACCAATTTCTGCAATAAAATCTTTCTTCAGCGAAGCATATCGAGATTTCTTATCTGCGGGAACAACAAGTTCAAACAAATCTGATCGTCGTATCGACTCTACCATATGATATAAGGCACTTAGTGTCACACGCAGTGCTTCATTATCAGCCATCGTAGCACTTCGTCGATTATTCCGCCTTTCCACTATAAAATGGCTTGATTTATTAGAAAAGTTTGAATCTAGTAGAGAATACCGCACCTGTATCAGTTTTGTAAATAAGATAGCGTGATTTCGAAATCGAAAAACAATAAAATAACGAAAAATATTAATCTAATTATATCATTCTTTATATCTAACTATATCATTCTTTAAAAAAATAATAATAATAAGCCGCTGATATTCTTCCAGATAAATTTTTATGAAAGCTCTAAATGTTTAAAGTTGGAAATCATGATTTAAACATTATTGGTTAGTGTAAATCGATAACTACTCTATTCCAAAAATCGTAATAAGAAATATCCATAAAGAAGGAAAATCGCACCAACACTCTCCGAAAGATCAGCGTTTGATGCTGAACGGCTGTTAGACACTGACGATGATCGGCTATATTGACCTGCTCCAACTGGTCCACCATCCCAAATATCTTGGGTTTCAGTCAACAGTAACTTACATAGCGCCTGATAAAAAAAATATAATTTGAAGAATTGATTTTTCCCGCGCAAGAATTCTCAACCATTCCATAATCAAAAATCGTATATTCAAAAGTTCAAATATCTTTTACCTGATAAGTTCCAACTTCATACGCTTTATAGGCATTGAGAACTCCCAGTGTTAAACATTTTTCTTCGCAGTGTCCGATACCTAAATCGTTATCAACTTCTCCTTCATTATGACCTTTGAAGGAGCCATCAATAATAATATCCCTCTCATCAACAAAATCCATATAAGTACCCTGTAATGTTGAAAGTAATAACCATATGCTGTTATATTTCACTGTCTGAAGTTACTTTCAAACCATTTATTGCCAATAGTATTACTAAAATGTAAAATAGCAACATATTCATTAAGTTTTTAAACAAACGTGCTAAAACACCAACTTTTTAACTTAAGAAATAATAATATGAAAGATACTACAATCTGTTAGATTTATTTGAAGTACGTCATTATGATAAACTGCATGCAAGTAGTCTTGTTCATAACTGGAAATGTTTACTGATAATCAGCTTAACTATAAACCTGCAATATATAAAGTATGGATCGTGCAGCATTTAATCGTATGTTTGGCTCGACTCGTTCCAACTCTTCCAGCAAACTTAATAAAACATCCTTTTGTTGATTCTCCATGAGTTCTGACCACTTGTGACCAAGCTAAGAATGATCCACGCTTGTAGTGAATTAATGAGGATAGGGTAAAGTTATTTGATAAACAGAAAATCTCAGTCTTAAAAATCACAAACCTAATATGCCACCGGCAAAAATAGTGAAACTTATGCTACCGAGATCAATCGCAAGAAATAATTAAATGACTTACAATATTTCGTAATAAATTTACCTTTCTAGATTCTACGAAATCTCGGTAAGCACGCATGTTCAATGCCCAGTCCTCCAACTCGCTGTAGGTGTAAAGTTCAGCCAGTTCTGCTGCATGTGTATCACAATCAGAGTAGACAAATTCAAAATCATTCATTTCACCTCGTGTCTAAATGTATAATCTCGATGTCTCTAAATCTAAATATCTAAATGTTAGTAATAACGATGAGTAATTTGTAGGGGAAAACAAAAATCCGCATATTAACATATGAGCACTTGAGTAAGTAACTTGGTTTCTGAATGCTAACTTCAGCAGTAATGCAGTATAAATAAAAAATGCAGTATAAATGCAGTGTAAAATGCAGTATAAAATGTACTATTATGTCCGTACGAAAGTAGCACAAATTAATTGGAATTTCCGGAGATTTCGAGTTAAAATAAAATCTCCAAATCCAATGTCAAACATAATTTGGAAAAGAAATGAAGAAAGAATGGTGAATACCGAGAAATCATTGCTTAATGGCCTCGGCTTGTTTGTTATTTTTTTGAGCTTCGGTAATTGTGCTGAACGTCTCTGTGCAAGCGCTGATTCGCAAATGTCTGTTCGATTTTCTATAATATCATTTTTCACATGCTCCACATGTTCGTTGTTAAGTTTCAAGGCGCGTGAGCCATATACTGTAAAATAATATATCAAGAAATCAGCAATAACATGTGTTACTTTTAATGCAAATTATTTGCAGAACTATTTCATCACTTCAAATAATACTTTAAGCAAGGTATAATGTCTAACCTTACAGTTATCATTATTCATGGTCTATACTTTAATTTCTGACATTTAATAAAAGTCAATTTTTGACATTTAATAATGGTATATCTTGCAGTTCAATAATTAGTAAATACCACTGCGCTAACCATCATCAGCAAAATTTGGTCTCACACGTCGCAACAATTCCGGCTTTTCCGATTCTGAAATAAGGCCTAAATCAGATCGAAAACAAATAGGCCTTCCTAAATTGCTTCAACATGCAGAATTACTTACATCGAAATGATGTAGTTACAATTAAAATTTTAATCTGTGTATGATTCAATATGCAAATTAATTCATCATATTCAGAATATTTCAGAAACTCTCTTTTTCTAAGCCATATGATGAGAGAATTGGGACTGCAAGATTGAATCCTTTCATGTTCACTAGCAAAATAAAACAGCCGTCATTACATTCAGAATCAATAACAAATTCTCAAACATTATCACGACATCCAATAAAAAGTATTTTTTTTTCAAAAATATTCTTTCTATTGCTATAATTACCACCTAAAAAATATTTTCATAGTAATAGTGTTTTCCTAATATATTTTTTTAATACATTAATATTTCTGCTACAACAAATAACTGTTACAAATAGCGAAATAACCCATGCAGTCCTTCAATGGTATTTTCTTTTACTTTAACCCCTGACTGATATTGACTGCTTATCATAAGACATATGTTATAATTTATCGAAATCGCTTACCTTATTACCACTTTCTCTCATTTATTTTTAATAAATTTTTTCTGTTTATCATTTTCGCTACTAAATAACCAATTTTCAGAATAGGCAATTCTCAAATTCATACAGCTTAAATATCGACATAATTTCAACACCTCTAGCTAAAATCTAAAAAATGCAAAAAATGAAGGTAAAGAAAAACAGAAATATATGAAGTGAGTACAAACCTTGCGTATTCATCGATCCAATGGGTTCGTTTAAATTATGTGAAATACCGCACTCTTCCTCTTCTTTCGGATGAACTTTCGTTAATGATACAATGTTAGCGCTGGAATTATGAACACATTCTGTGAATGTTTAATCTTATACATCTCATGTGTCAGCGTAACTATACCTTATTGCGCATTTCCATTTTAGTCCCCACTAATTTTTTTATACTAAACATTTACGACGAAGTAAGAGAATGTATATGGAAGTTTTGTGCAAGAAATAATTTACGCATGAGTCACAGGAAAACTGTAAAAAGATGAATATTGCTGACAAAAAAAAAGGAAAAAAACACTAACAAAATATGTAAAATATGAACAAAGAGAAGTACACGTATGGTTATAAAAATATGAAATTATACATATGAACCTTTATGTATATATGTCATAAAAAAAGTGTTAAAAAAGTGGACAGAAAAAATTGTATACATAGACAGATATACGTAACAAGGAATCATATGCATAAATATAAATAAACGCTTTACAAATCATTCGTTATATATACAAGAAATAAGCAAATTGAAAGTATGGCAAGATATTTATATTAAATTTTGCACACCTGAATAAATCAATAAACACTGTAAATTAGTATAAAGTGAAAAAAGAAATAATTAAAATAAATGACAACCGATGAAAATGGGATATCGGTGATATGGAAAACAACGAATGATGTAGAATTGTATAATAAAACTTGTTAGCAAACTGTAGGTCAATGAAAGTGAATGAATCATATTCTAATTAGATAACAATTTATAAAGGAGTTAGTTAATTAGTTGCAAAAAAAAGAAGGAACTAAAAACGAGTCATTTAATCCAACCACTCTGCTTCAATGTTTAGTATACTGAAAAAATGAAAAAAAAAAAAAACTTAAGCTATGATTGATCAGCATGATATTCTTTGGAATTCTAACGTTGATCCGTTTTTCTATCATAACGAAAACAGACTTAATTAAAACAAAGGGGTTGAAATTAATTAGGGTCGGATGAAATTAATCAAAATCAATCAAAATTAAATACGGTGATCGCTACAAACAACTGTGATAAAAAGTGCTCTGAAACGACTGGCGTGTGAAGAACGGGGCCGTGTTACATCTTGTTGCTTTTGTGGCAGTTGGTGGTATGTTGAGGTGGCAATTAGAAATTAGTGATTGCTTCTCTTTCGTTAGAGTGTTGAAGTTTTCCCGGAGAATTAGTTAAATTTGCTTATGAAGAAAGAAAAAAATCATTTTTGATTTTATTTTGTTTTAACTTCACCTTCCTAATAATTGTCATTAGTTATCTTTTTCCAATTTTATCTTTATTTTGTTTTAATTTCACTTTCCTAATAATTGTCATTAGTTATCTCTTTTCAATTTTACCTCACTTTTTCCTTATTTCATACATTTCATTATCGATCACACTACCTCATCTTTTATTAATGTTAATGAATCATAAAAATTGAAGCACTGCTATTAGTTTGATAATTCTGTTTAAGTTGTTGTTGTTTGATGACTAACTTGAACTTGAGCTGAATTATTGTTGAACCACTGAACTATATGATGAACTAACTTGAGTTGAAATATTGTTTGTTGCTTGGATCATTGATTCATCTGTTTTTCCTAAACTTAATTTAATGGAATTGATTAAATAACCATTTAGGAGTTCTACTAATTAGATTATTACCGTGTTATATAATGATTATTTTGCTAAAAGATGAATTATCAGCAACAGTAATCTTGTTTTCCGGTTGAACTCTTTTTTTCTCCTCACAGAATTTAACAATTTATAAAATTTGAGCTGAACCGGATGGGAATGTATCATTTCTTACCTTTGACTTTTGATCTTATTAGTGTTTTCCTTTACGACACTGTTTATTGTGATTAAAATGAAAATTGAATTTTTAGGAATCTGGCCGATTTAGGCACAAAAAATGCTTGTGAGAATTGATCAGTGTCACTTTCTATGAGCAATCTCTGGATTAGTGACGAGGTACGTTTTTCTTCTTGTGTTAACATTCTTTACTTTTCAACTCCTTCCTATGTTAGAGGTATGAAAATAGACGTGATGGCTGGTGCGAAGATGACGAAAAGGCCAGAAACAAAAATGGGAACCACACTGGTGCGAAAATGATGTCAAGCTGGATATGGTAATAATGACAATGCTGAATATAAAAATAGTGTCAAGAGCAGGTTTAATAGTGTTGTTGGGACTGGGCGTAATAACGGCAAGGAGACTTGATATTACCGAAAGATGAATAGATGAATAACTTAACTGGAGCTTGAAACCTTGCTTCGTAGGTTGAACAAAATGGCTTGTAGGCAAGGGTCAGAACTCTTAAAAGAGCTGCCTATCAGTGATCGGGGCTGCTGTAAGAGACTAAAATATTTGAGCAGTGGGGTGGCAAAAAAAAAAAATTTGATATCGCTTTTCGATTTGCGGGATATGTATTGTGTGTAGATCTATGCCTGTATATATATATATATATATATATATATATATATATATATATATATATATATATATATATATATATATATATATA